TACGTTCATGTGAAAACATGTTTACAGCAAACATATTTCAGATGTTAAGTATTTGTTGTTGCATCTTACTAATTCCAGGTTTGTCCCAAATTGAGGGTTCAATTTTATCATGAGATAACATGAATGATGTTGTTGCTTTAATGGGGGAAACTAATAATAATAATAATACCCAAAAGAACGATGAGTATCCTTAAAAAGGATACTGAAATATAGTGTTGAGATATTATATGAAGACACAATGACACATTAATGGTATGAAGATATAACGGCCCCTGTTAGTGTGTCTCTGTTCGATTAAACATAATGAAGTCAAATACAACTGCTTAACTAATTGGTCCTTATTAGTCCAGTTTATTCTCCATTTTCTCTGCTCTTTCAAACCAACAGAAGTAAATGGATGAAATAACCCACATCACCTGGTCCTGGTTTGTCAACCACAACCTTAAAACGATACTAAAAATGTGTGTTTTTCTCTGGAAAGAAAGTTAATGGTTGTACGGTTAGAAAATTGTGATGCAACTTTAGGACAGGCCTGTAGGTCCACCTGCAGGTTCCAGGAGCTCCTGCTCATTCTGACATCCTGTGATAAACCAAACGTATTCCAGAAACATTCAGAGATACAAAGTCTGTACAACAACCAGTCTTATCGCTACACTGTGCAGTGAACTAGGGAATTTACCCCCCAACCCGTTGTGTTGTCGTCTATTTGCCATTTCAGTGGACTGTAATCAGTGTTTCATACCTTAAATGTTTAGCATAATTCACTATTTCAACTGTAAATTGAGAGTTAACCCGGCAATATTAGATAATGCTAACAGCTAACCCGGCTATATTAGATTATGCTAACAGCTAACCCGGCTATATTCGATTATGCTAACAGCGAACCCGGCTATATTCGATTATGCTAACAGCTAACTATTATCTCTGAATATCTTTTTCTGATTTTGTTCAGTTAGACCTGATGGTCTTTGTGTTCGTTTTCTTGTAATTTGTTGTGGGGGAAAATGGTAATTTTGCATGAGGTTAACGTGTGTTTGGGCCCAGTGAGGTCTATCTTTGACTCCGTTTGTTGGCTCCCGTATCTGGAGCTCACCTTGACATTCTCGTGTTGTGTTTGAAACCACGGCAACGGATCTGCTGCCAGAAAAGAACTGATGATGCCGAAGATCCAGTTAATCAACAACAACACCATCCAGACATGTAGTTCACCTGATTATCAACCAGGACACAGATATGGCAACTTATCCTGACCCCTAATCAAAGACAAGCCTTTTAAAAACAAAGTATTTTGAAGACATGTCCTCTTTACCGACCTCTTATAAGAATGCCCTAGTAATTTAAGTCTAATTATTTTTCTGCTTTACATACTGCTATTGTTCACCCAAAGTGTGACTTCCAACTGGGAAACAGTCAGGAGGGAGAGGAAAAAGTCCACAGAAGTATGTCAAATACAACATTTTTAGGACAAAGGAAGAATGAATTTAAATATCTCGTCTCCTCAGTGGAACACTTGACTCCTTCTTCGTGTCCTCTCTGCTCACTTCTGGGGTTTTTTACATTCACACATGGACCAAATTCATGTTGTTCTCATGTACTTCTGCTTGTTGTGACATCATAAATCATAAATTGTGCCTCTGGACACTCAAAAGCACCTAAATGTGGCCATCATAGCAACAGAACTGGTGGGTCTATGTGTTTTGTTAGTATGATCTTGGTACGGGCTGTACTGGAAGTTAATTTCTCCTTGGAGATCAATAAAGTAATCTATCTATCTATCTATCTATCTATCTATCTATCTATCTATCTATCTATCTATCTATCTATCTATCTATCTATCTATCTATCTATCATCCTAGCTATGGTGGATTGTTTTCCTGTGTACACTTGATGTCAGAAGGATAAACTTTAGGCATCAGAGCTGGTTGGATAAATGGATCAAAGCCTTCAATATGTCATTTAAGTATCAAAACTTTCTGAATTGGATTCAATTTTCCTTTAATTTTTTTTCAGATTATGGCTCAAAACTCCACGGTTTCACACTGATATTCACGAGGAGGAGAGACATTTGGTGAATTCTGAGGTTTAGGCGTTTTCAGGGCCATCCGCAGCATTTACAGCTCTCCTCGAACACGGTTCCGGCGGCACAGTTTCTCAGGAACGTTCGGCCGCTCGCACACTGGAAGAAGCTGCTCTGGTCCTCCCGATTTTCAAACAAACCGTCGGGTTTGTCTTTGCAGAAGTCCGGCCCTGGAACGGGCGCGGCCGTGGTGGTGGAGGGTCCCGGTTTAGTGGTGGAGGGTCCGGGTTTAGTGGTGGAGGGTCCCGGTTTAGTGGTGGAGGGTCCGGGTTTAGTGGTGGAGTCTCCTGGTTTAGTGGTTGAGGGTCCAGGTTTAGTGGTTGTAGTTGGGATAGTCGGCATACCTGTGAGAAAAGTGGATTTGGTTATAGTCAAGTCAAGTCAAATAGGCTTTATTGTCAATTTCTTTACATGTGCTGGTCATACTAAGAATTGTCACGTCTGGGGGAATGTCTGGTGTGTTGTCATGTCTTGATTACCTATTGTGTTCACCTGGGGTTCCCCTCCCTCATGTGTCTAAATAGTCCTCGTTTCCCATGTCCTGTGTCAGTGCGTTTGCGTCTTTCTGTTTTCGTCACCCCATGTCAGGTTTGATTTTGTCACAGCATTTTTCACTTTACTGCCATAGTCTTGTTTTGTACCATAGCCCCATTTTTGTCAGAGCCATGTTTTACCACAGTTTTGTTAATCTTGCTATAGCCTTGTTTACTTTTTCTTTGATACTTTGATCATAGTTTTGCCACAGCCTTGTTTTGAACCCTGTCCTGTCATCCACTCTTTTGAGTGCGTTTTTGTTCAAATAAACCTTTTTCCATATCTCTGCGACTGAGTCCTCCCTCAAGATCCACCTTCATGACAAGATTTGAAATTGCGTTTCTTACTTTCCCATGCAGACATAGACTTAGACTTTAGGTGTGGACATAGACAGTTAGACAAACACAGTACACATACATTACACCCAGAGTACCTATACAATACCATACAGACATAGATATAGATGGATTTGATAAAGGACATGGCTTTACTTAAAGAAAAACCTACAAGGAACAAGAAAAACTTCAAGTCGTCATCTTTTTGTGACCGTCCTTAACTCATTGGCTGCCAAAGATGTCTATAGAGGTCTTTTATGTTTTTCAACGAGAGTGGCTGGGGGACGATCTGCTAAAGCTTGTCTGTAAATATGGGCTTCTAGACAGAGTATGTAGTAACAAATTGACCCTCTAGGGGGCAGTGCCACTTTTGATGGGAGATGAGCATAGACTGTAGGCAAATAAGAAAAAGCTAACGGTTCTATGAGAGAACATGTCGCCGGTGAGAAGCAAGTCCAGGAAGAACGGAATAAGGTAGAAACACATTTTTTTCCTGATGAAAGAAGAGAGTCTACTCTTTCTTTTGGTGTGTTCGGTGTTTACATAGTCATAGCACAAACTATTCTGTGGCTCTTGAAAAATCAGTCAAAATGCTCAAAAAACTCTGGCAGTACGGGACTCTCTGTTCGGAAAATGGCTGCCAGTCAATGAGTTAAGAGTGTTTGAGAGGCCAGACCTACCACCATCAACAAGTCTACGCAAATGGGACAGCAAAGGATGGCTTCCCTCTCCACAGAACTCTCCATTGAAGTCGTCCAGATCCAGGGCCCACACGAAGGCCCCCCCGAACTTCATGTCTTTCATGTACTGGACCTGGAGACCAAAGATTTATCGTCTTTTTTTCAGTATCACCCCTGTAACTTAACCTGCTGGCTTTCATCCCCCCGTCCCTGTGCAGATACCTTTATGTCGTAGCTCTCCTTGGTGTCGAATCCCACCCACTCCGAATTCTTGGTGGCATAGGGAACCTTCTGGTCGTCAATCCACTGGATCGTGGTGCCTTTTAGGAAGGTGCAGATCTAAAAAGATCAGGTAAAACAAACGTCAGTGCTTTTCCTCCTCTGTATACAGTGGGGGAAATAAGTATTTGACCCCTTGCTGATTTTGCAGGTTTGCCCACTTACAAAGAATGCAACGATCCATAACTTTAATCATATGTACATTCTAACAGTGAAAGACAGAATCCCAAAGAAAATTCCAGAAAATCACATCATATGAATTTATAAAAATTGATAACCATCTGATGAGGAAAAATAAGCATTCTTTGTCAGTGGGCAAACCTGCAAAATCAGCAAGGGGTCAAATACTTATTTCCCCCACTGTATCATGTCCGAGTGATTGTCCCTGACTCTGTACCTCGTAGTAGGACCAGAACCCGGAAATGTACCTTGCTCATGTGATAGAAATGTACCTTGCTCATGTGATAACATACTATGCTAGAACGGGTAACTTTAGCCAAATTCTAACCATTGAGCGTCCCGACAGAGTCTGGTCTTTGTTGCGTCCCGGTTCTGTATCTCGTAGTAGGACCAGAACCCGGAAATGTACCTTGCTCGTGTGATAACATACTATGCTAGAACGGGTAACTTCAGCCAAATTCTAACAATTGACAGAGTCTGGTCTTTGTTGTGTCCCGGTTCTGTACCTCGTAGTAGGACCAGAACCCGGAAATGTACCTTGCTCATGTGATAGCATACTATGCTAGAACGGGTAACTTTAGCCAAATTCTAACAGAGTCTGGTCTTTGTTGTGTCCCGGTGCTGTACTTCGTAGTAGGACCAGAACCCGGAAATGTACCTTGTTCATGTAATAGCATACTATGCTAGAATGACTTTAGCCAAATTCTAACAGAGTCTGGTCTTTGTTGTGTCCCGGTTCTGTACCTCGTAGTAGGACCAGAACCCGGCCTCTCGGGTGTAGGGCCCGGCAGACGCCGCTCCGCTGGCCGGAGCCCCGACTCCAGTCGCCGAAGACGCCAGGCGGAAGGTCCGGCCGTAGGAGGCGAATCCCATCCTCAGCTTCTCCACCGGGGTGCCGTTGTCCCTCCAGTACTTCATGGCATAGTCCTAGGAAAGGTGATTAGAAACAAGGTGAAGTATGTATAAATATATTATTTTATTTATTTTATTTATTTTATTTATCTTATTTATTTTATTTTATTTATTTTATTTATTTATTTTTTTCCTTCTGATTTTCTATTTTATTTTATCATTTTTATTTATTGTTTATTTTTGTTTATTTCTCCCCAAAGAGTGAGCGTGTGTATGTGTGTGAATGCGGGTGAGTTCTGGGTGGGGGTTGCTGGGTATTGTTTTGGGTTGTTTGCATACAGTTGTGCTACTAAATGTGCCATCTTTATATTTTGTACTCTGTATGTTATTGGTTTAAAAAATGTTCAATAAATAAAGTTGGAACAAAAAAAAGAAACAGGTGAAGTAACAGCAAGCAAACACCAGCACATCTTCTTCCTCCTCAAACCTAACATGAGATCCTAACCCTAACCCGTACCTCTACCCCCCCACAGCTCCTATCCTAACCCTAACCCGTACCTCTACCCCCCACAGGTCCTATCCTAACCCTAACCCGTACCTCT